TTATTTCGTAAGAGTGCAAAGTTTTCAAAATTGATGATGTGAATACTATGATTTGATGTTGAATCTCTTACATTTCGAATTTGCAAAATATAGCAAGTTTTTTTTCGCACTATTTAAACAAAACAGAGCACATTGAAAAGTAATTTTAAATCGAGTAAATTGAGGAAATCAAAAAGCATTATTAAGATTAGATCAGGTGCATGATGAAATTATATTACTGAAAACGATACCGATTAATTATTAGTGCATTATTAAAATGGTATAGTGAAACTGGTACGGATTGATAGGGCACTAATATGAAATGAGTATGTGCCAGTTTTTTGAAATAAAGTAAGTGCACTTAACCTAAATACAATGTGCATCATCGTGTGAATTGTCAAGTAAGAGATTTAATAGCATTCCTACACCCCATATAAGTGCATATTATGTCATGTGAAAGTGGCTTTCATTATACTGCTGATCATGCATCCCAAATGTTTTCATAAATGCACTATAGGGAAAATAATGCATATTACATTATAACAGAGTGCATCACTTAGGAATTCATGTGCAAATGACTAGGTCATTAGACATGAGTCAATTGGGGAAGAAAAAAAAGGTATACACTGATTTTAGATTGCACATCTTAGAGCATATGAGCATATGTCAAGTTCATTAAGCCATGAGGTGTGAATGTTTCAATATGTAACACTTTTTTGAAATAAAGTAAGTGCACTTAACCTAAATACAATGTGCATCATCGTGTGAATTGTCATGTAAGAGATTTAATAGCATTCCTACACTCATATAAGTGCATATTATGTCATGTGAAAGTGGCTTTCATTATACTGCTGATCATGCATCCCAAATGTTTCATAAATGCACTATAGGGAAAATAATGCATATTACATTATAACAGAGTGCATCACTTAGGAATTCATGTGCAAATGACTAGGTCATTAGACATGAGTCAATTGGGGAAGAAAAAAAAGGTATACCTGATTTTAGATTGCACATCTTAGAGCATATGAGCATATGTCAAGTTCATTAAGCCATGAGGTGTGAATGTTCAATATGTAACACTTTTTGAAATAAAGTAAGTGCACTTAACCTAAATACAATGTGCATCATCGTGTGAATTGTCATGTAAGAGATTTAATAGCATTCCTACACTCATATAAGTGCATATTATGTCATGTGAAAGTGGCTTTCATTATACTGCTGATCATTGCATCCCAAATGTTTCATAAATGCACTATAGGGAAAATAATGCATATTACATTATAACAGAGTGCATCACTTAGGAATTCATGTGCAAATGACTAGGTCATTAGACATGAGTCAATTGGGGAAGAAAAAAAAGGTATAACACTGATTTTAGATTGCACATCTTAGAGCATATGAGCATATGTCAAGTTCATTAAGCCATGAGGTGTGAATGTTCAATATGTAACACTTTTTTGAAATAAAGTAAGTGCACTTAACCTAAATACAATGTGCATCATCGTGTGAATTGTCATGTAAGAGATTTAATAGCATTCCTACACTCATATAAGTGCATATTATGTCATGTGAAAGTGGCTTTCATTATACTGCTGATCATGCATCCCAAATGTTTCATAAATGCACTATAGGGAAAATAATGCATATTACATTATAACAGAGTGCATCACTTAGGAATTCATGTGCAAATGAGTATATCACTAATTAAACACTATTCAACTTGAAAAAAATCATACACTGATTAAGCCCTGATGTGTGAATGTTCAATATGTAACAGTTTTTTGAATGTAAGTACATGCAATAAACCTAAATACAATGTGCATCATTTTGTGAAATGTCCATTAACTGATTCATTGGCATTCCTACACTGATACAAGTGCATATTATGTCAAGTGAGAATGGTTTGCATTATCGTACTAATCATATGTGTATACATTTTATCTCAAACTCATGCATCTGATTTACAATAAATGAACGATACAAAAAAGAAAAACAACACACAATTTATTAGATACGAGTGCATCAATTTGGATAGATATGAAAAAGAGTACTCACTAAACATGAGGCAACTGTAAAAAAAAGTAATCATAATATGGCATTACTGTGCATTGTTTAGATTGCATGAGCATATGTTAATTTAATGAAGCCCTGAGGTGTGTAGGCTGTGTATGTAAAAGATTTTTGAATTTGAATAATTGCATTAAATCTTAATACAATGTGCATCATTTAGTGAAAAGTAAATTAAATAGTTCAACGACATCCCTACCCTGAAAGTGCATATTATCTTAGTTGTCATAAGAGTATACTTCTTCCAAAATTCATGCATTCCAATATACCATAAATGCAATACAGAGAAAAACATTGCACAATGTATTACATCAGAGTGCAACACTTAAGAAATAATGTGCAAAATAGTAGGTCACTAAACATGAGTTAACTCAAGGAAAAAAACATCCCCTGATATTAGAGTGCATTTTTTAGACCATATGAGAATATGTTAAGCACGGAGTTATGAAGATTGTGTATGTACCACTTTTTTAAATGTCAATAAGTGCATTAAATCTGAGGAAATTGATAACCGAAAGGTACACAAAGTGATTGAATGATACTTCTAACTTTTAGAAAGTGATTATTACGTTACGTAATAGTGCAATGAAATTAATTGTGCAGGCTCTGAGGGTGCAAATTTGGACAAAGGGAAAATGGAAGAAGTGACACTTGTTGTCAGAAAAAGGAGAATGTTACAAGATGCAAAACTAAAAAGGAGGGATAAGAGGCAGAAAGAACAAGTAGAAGAAGATGAGAGTGACGATGACTTTGAGATACGACCACTTCAAGAAGTTGCAGGTACTAGCCTAGTAGAGGATGGGGAAGGTGAAAAAGAAAAGGTAAGTATCAAAGAAAAAAAAGCAGGATTTAGAGCTTTAAGAACAAGGTCATCACCACACTTATTAGTTAAAGCACTAAACAAGATGACTGAACTTCAGAAGAAGGATATTAGAAAGATAGGTTTTGGTGCACTATTTGATTTGGACATTTCAGAAATTCCCGGAAGAATGGCTTTTTGGTTGGTGGATAACTTTGATGCTAAAAAATGTTCATTGGTGCTAGACAATGGCACAAATGTGCATATTACAGAACAAGATGTTGCTCGAGTTTTAGGTTTCCCATTGGGTGGTAAAAATATTGTTTTAAAGAAGAAAAGTGAAGAATGTGATTTGTTAAGCGAATGGAAGGCATTGTTTAATAAAGAAGAAACCAAAATCAGTCCCTCAGATATTTGTGCTCAAATGAGACTTAGGACAGAAGGTGGTGAGTGGTTCATCAGACATTTTGTTGTCCTTCTTGTGTCTGTTCTACTTGATAGCACCCCGAATGGGTATGCGAATCCATTAATAATGAACAATCTCCATGATGTTGAAAAAATAAAGGACTTGGATTGGTGTGATCATGTGTTGTCTCTTTTGGTTGAAGCTAAGTGGTCATGGCAGAAAAAGAAGGACAAAGCCTTCACTGGCCCATTGCTGTTTTTGATGGTAAGCTTGCACATTTTCTATGGTTTTTTTTAAAGTTTGTGGTTTATCTTATTTATAAGTGTATTAACAATAATTCCTTGCAGTTGTTTTATGTGGATAGAGTTGAGTTGTTCAGAAGAAAAGTGAAGAGGTCTTTACCAGTTATAAAGGGATGGAATGCGAAATTCCTAAGGGAGAGAGAAGTGCTTGAGATTGAAACTGGAGGATTTGGAATGGGATTTTGTGTTGGTCCAATGGATTTCGAACAATGTGTTGGTAATCTGCAGACTGAAGAGAAGGAAGCTGGAAATGGGTGCATACTGCATATAGAATCAACTGGTGAAGACAATTCTGAGGTAAGAAGATGAATAATTATATATGTTTTTTAGAAGTAGATGTAGGAGTATACAAGTGACTCAATACTTGATGTCATTATCAGGAATTCGTGAAGTAAAGTATAAATGTGCATGTGAGCCTTTAAGAATGTGTGCATTGGATCTAGCATTAAAAATGTCATGTAAATGTAATGATTGAGCATGAGGTTGTTTAATGTATGTGTGTGTGCATTAAATTGAACTATAACATGCATCATTTCTGGTGACCAACTGATAGTATATGCATTTCATTTTGGTTGAGTTATATATAGATGAATTTTTGCTTCATAAAAGTGCACATGCCTATCAAGTAGTATGAAAGTGCATAGCCAATGAATGAAAATTTAAGTGCAATGCAAGTCATAAAACTAACACAGATGAATCATTATAAACAGGAAAATGTGATGAGATTGACACAATTGTGCAAAGAAATAGCAGCCAATGTGATTGAAGTGATCAATATCTTTGAAAAAGAACCACAAAACTTAATGCATAATGAAAACTTCAAAAAGCTGCAAGAATCTGCAGAACAGATAATTGGCCTGGGAAAGAGGAAACAAACTGTGGATGTTAGGGAAGAAGAAGATCGAAGAAACAATGAGCAGAGAGAAGATGATGAATATTGGAGCAATCCTGAGACCATTGCAGCTATTGAGAGGGTAATAAATGCAATGGCTAAAAAGGCATTTTCTGAAAAAGGCATTGAAGACATTCCCTCATTCTCAATTGGGCTTACACCAGATGAAGCAACACAATGGGGCCCCATATCTGAGGTATGTGCACAATTTGAAAATGAATACTTTCAAAAGCAAAGCTTTGCTAGTGTGGAGAAGAACAATGTGGAAGGAAGTGAAGAACCACAGGGCGACAAAGAGGTATGCTATCATTATAACACACAATAAATGTAATACATAAAATGAATTTTAACATTTTGATAATTTCATTGCAGATAGAAACTCAGGGTGAAGTCCCAGATAACATGATAGCTGAGAAGGAAGGAGCAAGTCTTCAGGAAACTAATAACATGATAACTGAGAAGGAAGGAGCAAGTCTTCAGGTAATTAAAATTTAACATCAATAAATATGTATATAAAGAACATATAAAAGCTGTGATTTATTTGAATAACAGGACCCGGAGAGGAACAATAGTAAGAAGAACAGTGAGTTGGCTTTAGGAAAAGGAAGGATGGATCTCAGGTCAAGAAGAAGAGGAAAAGAAGCTGAAGGTGTAAAATCTCAAAACATGGACAGGATAATAGAACCAAGTGACTGTTTAAATGCAACTGAAAAGCTAATCTACAGATGGGTCATGCAAAAAGATGCAAAGAAAAAGTAAGTATATAAAAAGAGCATCAATAAACTTTAACGTGATTTAAAGTTAGAATGAAATGAGTATTGTAATGTGTGCTGACATGCTTTAAAGTTAGAATGAAGTGAGTATTTTGTGGGAACTTTAATCTATGTTTTAATGTAGGGATGAGATCATTTTCAAGTTCAAAGATTTGACTATAATGCGTGCTGACATGCTTACACTGGGTGATAAAGAGCACATGTCCATGAAGGTACTTGATGCATGGACGGTATACTTGAATAGTAATGAGAAGTTACGAAGTAAAGACTCCCCATGTAGACTGTTTGCAAGATCATATCCTTGTGTAAGTGTTTAACCAATTACTTATTATAAGATAAATGCTTATCAAAATAGTTATTACTACGTATAACATATGCTTGTATAGACTGTTTGACAAAAAAATGATAATAAAATGTTTTGCAGCCATATACAATGGAGGATCCTATTGAAGATAGTGAGATGTACGGTGTTCTCAAACAGACACTAGATTTTGCACTGGAAGCATTGAAACCTGAAGTTAAACTGGAGGATGTGGATGTGGTAATTGAATTTTAAAATGTCACTATAGTAGTGAGAAAAAAAATATAATAATTAGTGCATCAACTTATGATATTAGTGCAAAATATAACTATAGCAGCTTTATGTGCAGTTTTTCTTTCCAGTTGTGCAACCTGAACACTTTTACATTATGTGCTTCAACATGCAAAATCAGCACGTCGAGATACTCGATAGCTCATCACTGCAAATTGATTTTGAGCACAAATATTCTGAGACGCCATTAGTATTGGTAAGTGTGAATATAATTACAATTATTACTTAATAAGTGTAGCGGTTATTCATCTGACCCAATTCCCACTTAACAAGTTTGAGCAATATGACATTGTATATTCGTTGTTACTGATTTTGCAAATAGAGAGACATGTTTGTGCAATTTCTTAGTGAGAGAGGACTGGACAATAACGGCAAGGTCTTTCGTGAACCATCAATAAACTGTCTACAAATGGCTTGGAGGGAACTGAAAAATGAGCACAACAACGGGCTATGGAGCATGAGACACATGGAAACATACAATGGTCAAGGAACAAAAGCGTTGGACTGTGGTATTAAAAAGGAAGATGCAAAGCTGTTGAATGCTTTAAGAAAGAAGTACTGTGCAACACTGGCCACAACAGAAGTCAACGAGATGAAGGAAAAAAACTTGAATGAAGTGAAGGAGTTTGGAAAAAAGAAGAAGTGAAGAAGTGATAAGTGATGTCAAGACACTTTTAAATAATTTCATGTACTTTTTGTTTTGGATTTGGTTTGGTGTTCAACACAACAATGACATTTAAATACTTGCTATTATATCTCTTGTTTTGGATTTGAAAATTTGGATTGGTTTGGTGTTTAACAGCAGAATAGCACTTATGTAGTTTTGCTTATATCTATTTTTAAAGCTAGTGTGCACTTCAATTGTGTAATGTATGGCTGAAATTGAAGTTAAGAGTGAAAAGAGTGAGCTACAATGTAACAAAAAAACATTTTTTGTTTCATCACAAAAGAAAATCCAATATGCAAGTAAATAAGATACTTTAGCCAACCATTTAGGAGTTATTAAATCACACTGCATCAACACTTAGGAGCAAATGTGCAAAAGTGTAGATCACAAAAATATGAGTATGACTGTAAAATAGAAGTCATACCATGACATTAGTGCAAATTGTTTAGAGCATATACGAATATGTTAATTTCATTAAGCCTGGAGGTTTGAAAGTTGTGAAAAATATTTGTTAATTTAAATAAGTGCATTAAATTTAAATAAAATGGAAATCATTTAGTCAAATGAAAATTAAATGAATCAGTAACATTGATACACTCATCAAATTGCATAAAATCTTACTCATTAATATAAGTACGCATTGTTTGTCAAAATCATGCATCATTAGTTATCATAAGTGTACTCTAAAGGAAAACAATGCACAAGGTAGTGTATAATAGTGCAGAGAAGCGAAAGTAAAAGTGAACAAGAGTAAGAATTAGAACTTTATCAGGAAAGATACTTTGAGAAATTATAAAAACCAATCAAAACGAATTGGGTAATGTATGATTCTTGTCCAACAGAAAGTAAACACTTGGGTACAAGCAAAACTTCACCACAATTCAGAAAAAAACAAACGAGTCATGAAACATTGAAACTCCAACACATTAGACAACTTGAATTTGGTTATTTCTAAGAATTTAGAGGACAATTTCTGCTGTCATGGAAAGCAAGCTCGTTACAAGTGCGGCATAGTCTTTTAGACTTCTTGGAAGCTTCAATTGACTTCTCTTTACCACCTTTTATTCTCTTCCCACAGCCCTTGTTCCTTGCAATCTCGGGTGGATGCACATTAACTTCACTCGGGATAGAAGAACCATAGAATGAGCTAATGATGTCGTTTTTTGTGCTACTAGATCCACTTGATGCCTCTAAGGACATAAACTTGTCCTTTTGAAGTTTGATATGGTCTGCAAATTCTTTGAACAAATCTGGGTGATGCTCAACAAATCCCACACAGAAATAAATATCAGACCATAGATGTTTAACTTGATGTTTATCTTTTTCCATAGAAGCACATTGATCATCTAAAATGTCACCAACTTTTGACTTCGACCTAATTACAGAACTCTTACACCAGCGTGGTAACACAAATTGGGAGGGTAAGGTTTCAAACTTAAGGTCCTTCAGAACAACAAAAATATGGCGACACAGCAACCCAAACCTTTCAAAATGCTTACAGCTACATGATGCACTATCAGAAGAAACATTGTGCACTACATCAAAAACCAGACCCCGTTCATCAGATATGGAGTACTGAAGAACATCACCAACAGTTTCCACGCGCAAAACACGACAAGAAAAGCAAGCAGCAGAAATCTCCTGTTGCACTTCATAGAAAACAGACAGATTGTAGATTGAAGAACAAAATCTTTCGATACCTAAGGGAGTATTGTATACAGGAATGGATGACTCAGAAACTGAGTTCAGTTGAGCATAAATATGCCTCTGTGAGTCCATGGCACTATCAAACTGCATAAAGAATTCAACCAAACTAAAATGTGGATTGGTAAACTCATTAAAAAAATTATTCTCGCTCTCCGATCTTGATGTTGTCCTAAGCATTCCAGCCATAAATAAATCACGGAAATATGCAGGAATCCAAAACTTACGAATGTCAAACATGTGAGAGAACCACTTATGGCTTAACAAGTCATATTCCTCCATGACAGACATCCACTTCCTTTCAAAAGATTCAACTTGGAGATGGTTATTCCATACAACACTATTTATTTTTGTCAAAAATTCTGTATCCTGACTAAGAGTGGGACCAACCTTGGCAGTTAACTTGGACATGATATGCCACATGCAATAGCGATGACGGGAGACTGTGAAGACATTTTCAATAGCAGCGCGTATCGCTGGATCTTGGTCAGTTATGATGCACGTTGGTTCCTTAGTCATTGCACTAATAAAAGAACGAAAAATCCACTCATATGACTCAATGTCTTCCTTCGAGATCAGGCCAGCAGCGAAAGTGATGCACTTCTTATGGTTATCTACACCCGTAAAAGGGGCAAAAACCATATTGTACCTAATACAATAAATGAAATATAAAAATGCATCAGAAGATAATATTTGTGCACATAATAAAAACCAAGTGAGAAGATAATAAAAGCAGACATCAACTATCAATTTTTAAAACTTAAAAGCACACCATTTAAACAAATACTATACAAACACAAAAACGATGTAATAACATGTACCTATTGGTCTCAAAAGTCGCGTCAAAGGAGACCACATCACCAAATAGAGCATAATTCTTTCTACATACAGGATCAGCCCAAAAAATACGAGTCAATTGATCACTGGCATCAACATCATAAGCGAAGAAAAACTCAGAACAAGTCTCCCGCTTTCTAAAAAGTTTATCAACCAGCATTTGTGCATCAACACCAGAAACATAAGCCTTCAAATCACGCTTGAAGTTCTTAAAGTCAACAGCAGTTGCGCCAATATTGGAATACCCACCCACAGTTTCTTTATACAAACGATAACATTTCATTGTTCCAATATTAGCTTTGGAACAATTCAAAACAAAATTTTGATGGCCAGCATCAAGAGCTCGATTTACTTTTAGAAATGGGCGAGATGGGGTAGACGTCATGGGATGCTTATGCCGCTCTTCAAAACGGGTAACCAAATATCCATGTCCAGCATGTAACCTCATAACTAAACGTGCACGGCAACCAACACGATTTGATACACGACGTCTCTTATTCGAAGGAATGCCTTTTGGTTCTGAGCTTTTCACTTCCTCATTACAGCCAGCAACATTCTCAGAATTAGAAGAGCTAGATTCTGTATTCATGGATTCAGTTCCATCACCAACACAAGAGCTGGATTCAATATTGCTAGGTTTAGGCAGATTTTTGAATCCTTCTCTGTTACACAGAATATACTTCCACACACAAGCTCCATCACTACTCTTTCTAGAGGTACTTTTGCGGATATCAAAGCCACAAAGAGTAGCATACTGTTTGTAGAATTGAACTCCAGCAGCAACATTTGTGAAAATCATACCAACATGAGGCTTATAGCTCTCAGCACACTCAGGAGTCCAATATTTGGTAAAGTTTGGAGAAACTTCAGTTTTAGATGAATGACAAGAGTTTCGTGGAGAATTAGAATAACTGAACTCGTAAGTAGAATCTACAAATATATAAATAGCAAGTATCAATAAAATTCATAAATAGATAAAACCTTAGTGCATTCAAAATTGAAAAGTGTAAGAATAAGGTATATCAGTAGTTTATCAGGTAAAAAGTGCAGCAAACTGGGAAGAACAAAAATCAGGTTCGATTAATATAAAAAACTTCAGGAATGCAAAAACGCAACAACATATGTTGACATAACAACATTGAATCGGATTAAAAGCAAAACCTTCAAACAACACAACAACAATAGATTTGCAGCGAAATAGAAGAAATAGTTATATAAGAAAGTCTGATAAGGAAAACAAGGGTAACAAGTAGTAGGGTATCAATCGACATAAACTCAGCAATTATATAATATAAACGATTAAATTATGAAATTTATCAATTGAAAAACTCACTGTGATCCATAGCGAGAAGATGAAATTGTTAGCAAATTTGCTATTCGACGATGGCGGTTGTATTCAATGTCGGATATTCAGCGAAGATCGAGGACAAAATAATGATGAAATCTTCCAAGTAGAGAAGGCCACAGATATGGAAGAACG